GATGACACCCCCCCCCCCTCCCGATTATTGAAACTATGTCGGCATGACAAGATATAGCCTCATCTTAACCATGCAATAAATCGCATTTCGATGTCTTATCGGGCTGCTTTAGACTTTCAATAGTTGGCTCCCCTCTTAGCTACGTCTATACTTGTGTATACAATTTAAGAAAAACAATTATCAAGGAGGGCTTTTACATTGTGCGGTCACGGTAATAAACATCTACCGGATAATGTCCGGGCCGCGTAACGCAACCAGTGGCGTGGCGTGAATTGCGATATATCGATTGTTATGCCATATAAACCCATGGAAAAGGATCGATAAACAGGGTGTTCGCAGCGAACACCTTAATAATCGATTCTTTACCATAGGTTTAAATGGAATAACACTCGATATATCGCAATTCACGCCACGCCACTGAACGCAACGTTGCGTGCTCCTTTGTCTGACGAGTCAAATCAAAGCTCGGAGCTTCTTGGCCGGTGCTATTTAATCATAGGACACGCACCTGCTGATATCTCTGGTAAATGGACGTATTTCTATCAAACGGAACTATTTGCATTAAAACATTAGCCCTGAGACCCATAAGAATACATGCATAGCAGGGCTCACGTCCTAATGCACACAGTTCCGTTCGATAGAAATGTGAGATAACGCCTGGCGCTAAAGAATACCGAGTCTCGTTGCTGATAACGCTGTCACCGTTTGAGAAACCTAAACTGACAAATAGCACCTGGTGCGGTGCGACCATCTTCAGCGCGGTAGAGTAAAAAGTAATCTGTTACGATGAAAGTAAAACTTCAGACGGACAAAAATGTAAGAATGGGAGAAAAATCGTCTCAAGGGAGAAAAAAACTACTGCAGACTCTCGATGTTTGGGCTGTTCGGTCGGCTGATCAATCGCCTGTCTCGCGTGTACGCAATTAATAAAAATTTCTCAGGCTCGAAAGACTTTCTTATGCCTGTAGCTCAAATAGCATAATCGGTGAAATGAAGGCGCACTGAGATTCATGCTCTGTGTTCTCGCCAATTAACGAAGGTTTTGTTTTTCTCTTAGGGTTGACCTGTCAAAATGGAGAGGGAATAAAGGGAAAATGAAGAAAAGTACAAAGGAAAATGAATGACATGAATACATTTTAAATCATCAAAAGAACGGAGAAGAAGAAAAGATAACCCCGAATTCACGATGAGCCAGTCAGGAAAGTCCAAAAATCTAGTCTGTAACGCAGAATTTACGCAGTCCGTACCACGTACATGTTCAAGCTTTTCCAGCACTTTTTCCTGTGTCGCTCTCGTCGTTGTTGGCAACCGGCGGGCTGATTATTGAAATTGGTGGACAAAGCAATAGACAAAGAAGACAAAAAGGATATGGAGGGATTCCATGGGTGGAAGCGGGTGGTTGCAATTGCAATGGACAAAGGGTGTAGGTAATAGACTAACAAACGGCAACCCACGAGAGACCCGATAGTTTGTGCATCATTTACCCCCTTAGTCTATCAGAACCACCCATTTCAACCAATGGAATAGCTCTATAATCCTTATGTTTTCTTCGTCTATAGCTTTGTCTATGAAAATCAATGATCGGCCCTAGATACCGGGAAAGAAAACTCGCTCGGATCAGGCAAATTGAGTGTTAAGGAGTGCATTTCAAACTTTTCTGTGAATCGGAATTTTCATACGATTTTACTACCGAAAATTCAAGTAATTTGTCCGTGTCTTCAGGGCGCAACAAACCAATTTTATTGATGACCAGTCCGACAAAAAGAAAAAACGCCTGTCAGGATCCGAAATTAGAGACTTGAGACTTGATTCGGCGGCACGGCGTCGAGGCGATCTCGCGCGTGGCGACCGACCAAGGTTGCCAGATTAGAAATTAAATTTGGATACTTTACAACAGGTTTAAACGGAGGAGAGTGCTGATTATTTAGCCCTGTCTGGCAACAATACGACCGAAGCCGCACAGTTGGCCGAGTCGGTGGAAGAAGTTGGACTTATTGTGCGCAGAAGTTAAAAGCTCACGTCTCCGTCAATACGAAACGTGAAACAATTCGAAACTGGTCCCATGTTGGTTTCCTCTTAAAATTTATTTCAAGAAGCACCCTTTGCGATTTGAAATGTGACAAAATTTACGTAAAAAATCCAGTTTCGGTAAAAAAATGTCATGATCAATTTTTTCTGGAGACTCGTTCCCACTGAACGACGTGACGCCGGCCGGAGCGATGCTCGTCGGTCCGACACGGCGCACAGTGGACCGAGTCAATGGCGGAGGTCGGACAAAATGTTGAAACTTTAAACGCATATAACTCCGTTTATACGAAACTTTGAGGTTTTAAAAGTGGCTCCATAGGTTTCCTCGTGAAATTTTCTTCAAGGAGCATCCCTCAAAGTTGAAAATGTGACAAAATAAACATAAAAATTTGCAGTTTTAGTCGAAAATTTCATGTCCGACCTCTCGTATTGACTCGATCCAATGTGCGGCGCGGCTGGTACCCGTTCTGGTGTTCTGGACTGTGGAGAGTTCAAGGGCGGATAGTAATTAATGGACTCCGGCGACCGGAAAGACCGGAAACAATGTTTTTGCTTCGGATACTGGAACAGAGCACCGGGGAATCACCGAACGGAACCGGTTGAAATCCAAGAACAATATGGACGTCCAAGTTGAGGCCTCATTCAAAATGCATTCCGCTTTTCGCTGCATTTCCCGAAATACCTGCGTGCGCAATCGATTCGAGCACGATGCAAAATTAACATGGAGGAAACAAGGCGTAGCTCGACCGCAAAGCGTTATGACTGCATCCAAATAAACTGGATTCCAGCCGCAATTATTTAAAAAAGGCAATTTCATCCAGCGATTAGGCCCAGACCGTCTTTTTTTCCCATAGGTGGAGAGAAAATTCAGAGATGTCTGAATTTCTCGACCATGCGAACAGTGGGGCACTATTGGATGCGCGCAAAGATGGGAAGGCTTCAAAAACGGATTTTAAAGGTGGGAAACTCGCGGAATAGTGCCTTGAAAACCGGAGGGCTGGCTCTATGATGGCGTGAAAAGAGTGCTGATTCCTTACTAAAGGGTAAACAAAATTCATCGCTTTTAACATGTTGGGAAAATGCGTTTTTTAAAAAAAAAGATCAATTTGAAACATAGGGAAGATGACCACTCTCTGCGTTCCCGATTAAAGTCTATCTCCGGCAGGAAAAGTTGCCTGAAGTAAATTCGAGATTTCTGACAGTGTTTATCACGCTGCTAGTAAACGTTAGGGGTGCAGAATCTTCTAAGCTTCCACTTTCTCACGCGCCCGGCCGCCGGCTTTCCACATTTCTTGTTTCATATTCTTCGAACTTATTCTCTCCCCTCTGCTTCTACAGATATTCTTTCAAATCTAATACTGTATCATCGTTTCTAATTTCGTCAAACACAGTCGGCCACAAGTTGGCGCGTAACGCATATTAGCGCCTTCAAGAGTGAATGGATACTTCACGCATTGCGCATCACACAGTATGATCGCTGGTCGGCGCGAGAGGCACATTAGCGCCTACAAGAGTGCATGAATACTTCACGCATTGCCCCCAACACAGTGCAATCGGCGCGAGGCATAGGTACTAGCGCCTAAAACGTAACCAGATGAAAGATTGACGCTGACAACCAACGATCTAGTGTTGGTTATTAGATTTCCTGGGAATCACATGATTATAATCAGGAATCTTTTAACCACAAACATTTTCTTTTTTTCGTGTAGTTAACGTCAATCACCGTTTACTTTGAATGAAATACAACGTCGCCGTTGTGTTGAACAATGAACTGGACGAACATTAATTGAACCGATTTTTTACCAAATCATGTAAGCGTCTAAATTGCGAATGCGAGTAAAACAAGAAAATTTTTATTCGCTTCGTTGACAATCTTCAAATTCCAAAAAATTGTAAGTCCTTAAAAAGGCAATTTTGAAACTAGACAGGTGTGATTATCTCAGAGAAAACAAAGAAAAAACAACCCCTCTACCACCAAAATAGAGATTGGCGCTTACATGATTTGGAAAATAATCCGTTCAATAGCTGGTTGCTCAATGAGATTCAAC